GAGGCTTAGATACCAGCTGCCCCTGCCTCCTCCTCCTCTCCCTTCTGCAGGGGCCATAGCAGCAGTAAAACTGTCCAGACAGGACTGGAGCTTTCTCGGAGGAGCAGATCTTCACTAACAAGGGGAAACTGACCTTTTAGATTTATTTTTATTGCTTTAAATTATGTGTAGGTGTGTGTGTCTTTATGTGAATATGTACTCATGAGTGCAGGTACCATCTGAGGTTAGAGGCATCAAATTCCCCAGAGTTGGAGTTACAGATGGTTGTGAACTATCTGACCTGGGTGCTGGAAGGTGCTGGAAACCAAACTTGAATTCTCTGGAAGAGCAGCTGTTGCTCTTAACTGCAGAGCCACCCCTCTGGTCTCTAGAGATTGTTTGTAATTAATATTTTTAATTACTAGCCAATGCTGCCCAAGCAGACATCTCTTTCAATGGCATCTTCTCCCTCCCTCTCTTCCCCAGCCTTATTCACCATGGGAGGCAATGCAGATGGACAGCCCTGCAAGTTCCCATTCCGTTTCCAGGGCACTTCCTACAACAGTTGTACCACCGAGGGCCGCACAGACGGCTACCGCTGGTGTGGCACCACTGAGGACTATGACCGAGATAAGAAGTATGGATTCTGCCCAGAGACTGGTGGGTATCACTGCCTCTCTCTGCCCCTCATAGGCAAGCATTTTGCCATTTAATACCCACTTGTCCATCCACGGCATCCTTTTCCAAGACTAGCTGCCGGTACATCTGGCCCCTCTGCTCCTATCTACAGGCGTCCAGTTCTGGACTCTGAACTGTGACTACCTTGGTTTCAACCTTGGCTCTGATACTTGCTTTCTAGCATTGTCTGCTCAGCAAGTCCTTAAACTCTTCATGAAGTCTCACTTTTCCCGTCTATGATATGGAGATGTTGCTACAGGCTCTCTACTGTGCCAGGGTTATTGGTGGGGGTCAATAGGATGGATCAGTACCCAGTGAGTGTATGTTAATGTCAATATCTTGTCATTATTTCCTGGTAGTGGCCTCAGATCCTCTGCTGCCCCTTGACCTGTGTTCCTTACCCAACAGCTATGTCCACTGTGGGTGGAAATTCGGACGGTGCCCCATGTGTCTTCCCCTTCACCTTCCTGGGCAACAAATATGAGAGCTGCACCAGCGCCGGTCGCAATGATGGGAAAGTATGGTGTGCAACCACCTCTACCTATGATGATGACCGGAAGTGGGGCTTCTGTCCTGACCAAGGTAGGAGGCCCTGGCTTTTGGTAGAGACACCGGACACTCCTCCACACCTTAGCTAGAATATTCTGAGACTCAGACTATTTTCAGCTCAGACAGTGTCCCTAGACAAGTGTCTTAGTCAGGGTTTTTATTGCTGTGAAGAGACACCATGCCCACAGCAACTCTTACAAAGACACGGTCTAGCCGGGCGTTGGTGGCGCACGCCTTTAATCCCAGCACTTGGGAGGCAGAGGCAGGCGGATCTCTGTGAGTTCGAGGCCAGCCTGGTCTACAAAGTGAGTTCCAGGACAGCCTCCAAAGTGACAGAGAAACCCTGTCTTGAAAAAAAAAAAAAAACAAAGACACCGTCTAATTGGCATGGCTTGCTTACCGTTTCTGATGTTCAGTCCTCTATGATCATGAAGGGGAGCATGGCAGCTGCAGGCAGATGTGGTGCTGAAGCTGTGAGTGCTACATCTTGCGGGCAACATGGAGTCTACCGACAGTCACACTGAGGGAAGCTTGAGCAAAAGAGACCTCAAAGCCCGCCCCCACAGTGACACACTTCCTCCGACAAGACCTCACCTAATAGTGCCGCTCCCTTTGGGGCCCATTTCCATTCAAACTACCATAACAAGAGACCCCATTGTGCCTTCAGACCTCCCCATCTGAGCAGAGACTCTGCTCAGCCACCTTTCCAGGCAGGCATGTCACTAGCAGGAGACAGTCAGTGACTTTACTGTTGCCAGAACTGAGCAGGGTGCTTTGTGTCTAGTTTTCAGGGCCCAGAGACCCAGGATTTATTTCAGGTTTCAGGTATTCCAAAAACATTCAGATATCTGGACGGGTCCGGGTCCTGCCAGAATTAAGTGAGCCTCTGTTCTAGTTTCATTTTTGTTGTTGTGAATAAATACTTAGAGAGGAAATGGGAATAAACAGGCTGACACTCTCAGGTTACAATGTGTTGAAGGAAGTCAGGACAGAAACTTAAGGAGAGAGCCTGGAAGCAGGTACTGTGCAGGAACACAGTTTGCTGGCCTCGCTGTCTGGCTCACAGGCTCATGCTTAGCTAGCTTTCTTACACCAGCCCAGGGAATGAAGCTGCCCACAGTAGGCTATTCGCTTATATCCATTAACAATAATACAGTTCTGTACAGACATGCCCAGAGACCAACCTGATGAAGGCAACTACTCAATTGAGAGTTTTTAGCTGTGATTGTAGACTGTGTCACATGGACAGTTAATGCTAACTGGGACACTCTTTTCTTCTGTTACTACTACCCCCCCCCATGATAAAATGGACCTCGGTGAATACCACAGCTGTCCAAATGAGTTTTTCTTAGAAGTTTTTCTTGCCCTCCAAATGCTATGCTAGGAGATATGCTGACATCCCCGCTCTGCAACTTCTGCCAAAGGTGGGATCTCTATCCATTTGAAGAGTCTGTGGCCCCTTAGGCTGCCATATACAAAGCATAACATACTGGTGGCTTAAAACAACATAAACTGACTCTTTCCTGATTCTGGAGGCTGGAAGTTTAAAACCAAAGTGTTCCCTCTGAGCTACATCACTTTATTGGCTGCCTCTGTTGTCACATGTCCATCTCTGTTCCATATCTGTGCCCGTCTCTTTCTCTCTCCTCTTATGAGGTCGTGATCCACATTGAGGTGAGAGCCCGCCCACTGCAATGCGGTAGCATCGTAACTTATTCATTTATTTGCGACAGGGTTTCACTATGTGGCCCACATTGATCTCAAGCTCACAGTCCTCCTACTTCAGCATACCAAGTACTGGGACTATAACCATATAACACCATTCTTGGCTCTGCGTTTCATTTCAATGACATCCACAAATAAGATCTCATGTTCTAGACAGCCAGGAACAGAATTTTGATATATATATTTTTTGCCACCAGGGTATAGTACATGATTTGCCTGCTCTCTCTGTGGTCAAACCTGAGCAGCACATACAGGCATGGGTATATTTTGTTTCAGTTTCCCTATGAGGCTGGAGATGTTGTTGCATGCTATATTATCAAGTCACATTCGCAGGGGATGTTTTACTCCAAATGGTGAAGCCCCGAGGCCAGACTATCCCGATTGCTCTCCTTCTTTGAGATTCTGAGCAGCATGTTTGACCTCAACTCTCACAAAGAGCAGGAAGCATGACTTTTAACAGATGTGCCTTGAAGCAGATGCTCTCCCTCATAGCACAAGCACTGTCACTGGGAAAGGGCAAGCAGATGCTGGCTGACCGACTCAAAAGCAACAGAACTTTCAGGACAAGCGAAAAATTAATACATGCCACTTGAAGATCTTTTAGGCCTACCTGAAGATGTCCCCCAAAGTTTCCTTCATATGAGGCAAGTCTTGATGCCTCTCTCTCAAATCTTACCCCCTGTTCCTGCTTTGGCATTCAGGATATAGCCTGTTCCTTGTGGCAGCCCACGAGTTTGGCCATGCGTTGGGGCTGGAGCACTCACAGGACCCCGGAGCTCTGATGGCTCCTATCTACACCTACACTAAGAACTTCCGCTTATCCCATGATGATATCAAGGGGATTCAGGAGCTCTACGGTAAGCCTCAGCTTGAGGGCCTTTCGGGGTGGAGGTGTCTACAACCATCCCATAGCCTGGGTGGGAGGCCACAGAAGTGGAAAATGACAGATCTCATCTAGCCAGAACGGCCATGAACACGAATGGTACTGGTCCTCGGGCTTTGAAGTAATGCTTCAAAGGGCTGCTCAACCACCCCTGTCCTTTCTAAATTAGCCATTCACACCCTTCTTGGCTCGCCATTTCTAGGGCTCTCCATTTGCTAGGTGTGTAAACTAAGGCTGGACGAGGTTTCAGTGGTCAAGTAGGGTTCAGGTTCCAGAAAAGTGAACTGACTACAGGGCAAGATTTTCTCTGGCATGGGATTGAAGCTGTTGATGTTTGAATTTGTGATAGAAACATAACAATTTGTTCCTGCAACCTATGATTGCCTATTGTTTGTGCTGCTTTTGGAGAGGCCAGAGGTTAAAAAGCCAGTTTACTGCCCAGAAAGAGAGAGAGAGAGAGAGGAGAAATCTATTATATAATAGTCCTTGTGGTTCCTGGGCCAGGAAAAATAGTGAAAGTAGAACCTGTCTGGGAAGTCTAGGGACACTGAACCCGGGAAAGAACTAAAGAACTAGACATTGAGGTGTGGCATTGCAGTCCAGCCCTGTCACAGGCTAGCTGAAAAAGATGGAGCAATTCACTTCTCCAGACTGAGTTTCCTCAAATGTGGCTGCTTATCATTAGGAACCCTTAAGAAAGTGTCATACCCCTAGAAGGGCCCCAGACTTCCCTGTACCTAAAGTAAGAGATCACATATGATTCAGGTTTCCCTTAGTTCCCCTCTCTAAGTGCAGGCGACACTGGGGCGGATGTTTCTTCCTTCTAGCCTTTATGGGTTAAGTGAGCAGTACTGGGGCCCAGCCTGGTGATGCGAAGTCTTGTTGCTGGGGAGAGTCTAAATTCAGATGTTTCCCCATTCCCCAGGGCCCTCCCCTGATGCCGATACTGACACCGGTACTGGCCCCACACCTACGCTGGGACCTGTCACTCCAGAGATCTGCAAACAGGACATTGTCTTTGATGGCATTGCCCAGATCCGTGGTGAGATTTTCTTCTTCAAGGACAGGTGAGTGAGACTGCTTTTGTCTCTCTATCCTCTGTCCCTTCCCATGGTTCTTGTGTTCCCACTGTTTGCTGAGAACCCCTGGAGCCTCTCAGAATGATCTGTGGTAAGCAATCAGTGTCTCACAACATGCAGATCTTGGTGGCTTACCACAGAGGTGGTTTTCTTGAATTATGGGTTTACCAGGGGTCTTGTCTAGGCTTTTGCAACATTTTACATGTCACTCATTCTCCTATAGTTAGCAGATACTTATGGCAGATGGCAGGGTGTAAGAGGTCAAATAAAATCACACACATTCATTGAAGGATTTGATGCATGTCATATCTAAGAATCTTCTACAGATGCAATTAAAGAGCATAGCTAAGCTGGGCATCCCAGTCACCCCAGCTCAGCCCTGAAAGATAGACTGTGTTGTCGTATAGTAAGGTGCATGCAGACATGATTCTAAAGTAGGACAGAGAGAAGAATGTAGGGGAATTAGCCAGTCTTCCATTGACCTTCTCACTGAATGCTATTGATCTCAAGTGGCCAAATTGCTGTCTATATAGATAGCAAGTGACCATAGGTGGAGAGAGATTATTTCTTTCATTCTTCAAGGCTATGGTCATGATAGATGGCTGAGAGTCACCCTAACGCCCCAGATCCCTGGGTAATGTCAAGAACTGTCTAGGACCTCATTATAGAGTCCATTCATCCATCTGTCTGTCCATCATCTATCCATTCATCACTACCATTGTCTGTCTATCTATCTATCTATCTATCTATCTATCTATCTATCTATCTATCATCTTCCTCTGGCCATCTAGTCTTCATTGTCCTTCCATACATTGATCCAATTATTCACTCATCCATTCATAGAGTATACTAGTTAGGAAAATGGGCTGTGGATGTAGAGTACTACACTAGCTCTCTCTACAGGTTGTATGGGTACCAGTAAGTTAATAATTTTCTTTGCATCTCTGTTTGCCCATCTCTAAGATGGGGTTAATGTTTTACCCGTTCAAATAGAGCAGAAATAGGAATCAGATGAGTTTAGAGCTTAGAATAATGGCAGCACAGAGTGTGTTTGTTTAGTCCATTAGCTGTCATCTCAACAGATGATAATTTAGCAGCTATTGTGCCAGTGTCTTGATGGTAACCAAGGAAAGAAAGACAGTGTGCTGGGGATGGGGGTCTATTTAACATCATATCATCTCAAGAAAAGTGCACAGGCCTCCTACACTAGAACCACCTAGAACGGGATAATTTTTTTTAAAAAAGTGTTTCTGCCCTCTCTCCTGAGTCCTTTGACTGGACTCTTTGGGGGCAGGGTTACTATCTGCATTTTACCCGACTTCCCCAGTGATTTGGAGGTTCTTTAACGGTATACCACCTGTGTGGTTAGGGGAAGAAAATCATAGCAAATTGACAGCAATACAAAGAGCTTCTCTGTACAGATGTCCCTGTCCGGGAAGACTTCATGGTGTGGGCGTCCTCTCAACAGGACCTTTGAGGGGAAGCAGCATTCTGGTGGATGGTGACAGTGGTGGCAGGTTAGGAATCACAAAGCAGGGACAGATAAAAGTTCCTGACTTACACAGTGTGGGACAGAGAGCCTCGGGAGGCTAAAAGATACTCCAGGAATGTCTTCTGTTCCCCGAAGGGCTTCTTTCGACATTGGGGACAGCTGTGGGTTACACGTGCCCTGCCCTTCACAGCGTCTGCCGCTGGCCAGTTGAAGACAACAAGAAGGTAGAGAGAAGTGAGACTCAAAATGCAGCAAGTCAGTTATAGTTAGGTCTTAGTGCCCAAACCAGTGTTAGTGACTCGATACCACTGATGTAAGTGGGGGCTCCAGTATCCAGCAAGGTCCCTAGCTTGGTGCAGTTGCCACTGTGGAAACTGTGACCACGTGTAGAGCTGTCAGAAGTGGGAGTCTCAGAAATGGCTCTGCACCCATGCCCAGGCCAGGGCTGGTTCTGACACTACATCATACTTTATATCAAAAGGACCTAAACATATGTTCAATAGGCTCTCTGAATTGATTCACTGTAAATAATCAAACAGTGAACATATACAAATATCTGCGCCAGGCTCTGGGAGGACAGGGCAGTACTACAGAATACTTTTCACTGTAAATGATTAAACAGTGAACATATACAAATATGGCGCCGGGCTTTGGGAGGACAGGGCTGTACTACAGAATACTTTTCACTGTAAATGATTAAACAGTAAACATATACAAATATGGTGCCAGGCTCTGGGAGGACAGGGCTGTACTACAGAATACTTTTCACTGTAAATGATTAAACAGTGAACATATACAAATATGGTGCCAGGCTCTGGGAGGACAGGGCTGTACTACAGAATACTTTTCACTGTAAATGATTAAACAGTGAACATATACAAATATGGCGCCAGGCTTTGGGAGGACAGGGCTGTACTACAGAATACTTTTCACTGTAAATGATTAAACAGTAAACATATACAAATATGGTGCCAGGCTCTGGAAGGACAGGGCAGTACTACAGAATACTTTTCACTGTAAATGATTAAACAGTGAACATATACAAATATGGTGCCAGGCTCTGGGAGGACAGGGCTGTGCTACAAGATCCTTGAATATGGATTTTGGAGTTGGATGTGTAACTGAATCCAGGTAATAGCATAATCTATCTGAGGGCGGTTTGGCAAATTAGGATCACGACCCTGCTTGTATGTGCTGTTAATAGAGCTATCACCTTCTCCTGCCCCCAATTAAAAAGTGTAAAAAAAAATGCTTTTTTATGGTATAGTGTCCAGGGGTGGGCTGTTTTAAAGGGCAGAGGAGGGAAAGTGACTTGTCTTTGCCCGTTGACACCTTTGCATGGCCTGTGTGCCAAGATTGGGTTCTAAGATGTCTGCTGGCGGCAGATGGGACCACAGACTTCCCACATCCAGCCAGAGTGTGGAGTCAGGTGGGAGGGAGAGAGAGAGATGTCTAGAGGGGAGACCCTGGTCTATCTGCTCAATCTTGTCTTTCTGATGTAAGACACATGGCAAGGACTGGTAAGATAACCATCTTTGGCAGAGTCATCTGGAAGGCTTGTTCAGACATAGTCTCAACCTTAAGTCAGAGACATCTACTCTACAGATCTCAGGTCAGGCCCAGAAATTCGAATTTCTCACACATGCTCAGGTGCTGCTCAGCCCACTGGCCTGAGGATCACAGTCAGAGAGCCAGTGGCTCACCCGTGACCAGCCTGCCACTAAGGTCACTGCAGCTGAGGATAGCTTTTGTTTTGGAAATGCAATGACAAGTCATGTTATGACGTCAAAAGGTTGGAGACACCCAGGCCTCATTCCTAGGCCGAGGATGATGTCATGGGCAGTGGAGGCTCCTGGTGTTGAAGGATGGTTATAAGTGTGGAGCTGAGAGGAAGGATGGTGGAGAGAGAGATGCCGGATGCTGGGCAGATAGATCACCAAGCACACATGTTATTATGCAGTTAGGAGGCTTGCATTTTACAAGGCTCATTCATAAACGTGCTTGCCGCTCAGTACTCCCTTAGTAAATGTAGCTCTTATTTTGCCAAGGCACACACATTCATTCCATTTAAATTCAGAAAATGCTTTGAAGAGCCACCCGCCCCTACCTCCGCTGGCTTCCGATCCAATAGGACAGATAGATGAACAACTGCTGCTCCAGGCGCTCAGTATATTCAAGAGGCACTGAGTTAGGAGACACAGTAAACAGACAGTCTGGGGAGGCTTCCTGGAGGAGGTGGGGGCAAGAGGGAAGGGTGGCATCTTGCAGAGCAGTGTCCTGTTCCTCAGTGTCCCTCTCCAACCTTCTTCAGACCTTGCCACCTTCCACTGTGTTTCTGAGTGGGCTTGCTGGTTAGCGCTGCAGAGTAACTTCCTGTGTCCCATTCCTATTCCCAGGTTTATTTGGCGGACAGTGACACCACGTGACAAGCCCACAGGGCCCTTGCTGGTGGCCACATTCTGGCCTGAGCTCCCAGAAAAGATCGATGCTGTGTACGAGGCCCCGCAGGAAGAGAAAGCTGTGTTCTTTGCAGGTGTGTGGGAGGCTCTCGCTGGCCCTGGGTTCCCGTTTAACTGGATCCACTCCTCCACCAAACCACAGTTCCCAGGCTCCTGCACGTGTGCCATCTCCTTTAAGGATCCATTTCCGCGTCGTTTCCCAAAGCACAGTGTCTGAGTTGGTTTTATTACTGTGATAGAACACCATGTTCAAAAGTAACTTGGGTAGGAAGGGGCGAATTTCAGCTTACAGTTGTAGTGTGGCATGATGGCAAGTCAGGGCAGGAACTCAAGGCAGGAACTAAACCAGGAACCACGGACAAACACTGGCTTGGTCCCCATTGTGCTCGCTCAGCCTGCTTTCTTACACACTCCCGGACCACCTACATCAATCAGTAATTAAGAAAAAAAACGTTTCAGGCGCTTGCCGACAGGCCGATTTTATGCAGGCATATTTCATCAATTGAGAGTCCTCCTTCTCAGATAACTTTAACTTGTGTCAAGCTGACAGGAAGAAAAAAAAAAACTAGCCAACACACATGGGATTTATCTATGTGGTCTAGATACTCAGCATCAACTAGCCCCACCCACACGGGGAAGGTTTCCTTTCCCCTGGTCCCTTTGTCAATCTTCTGGTTCCTTTTCTAAAGGAAACAGAATCCCCTTCCAGTGCCGTTTCCCTAACATCTTTCTAGTGCTAGAGCCTTGGCCAGTAGCTGCTTTAAGTTAGACTTTTAGAGTGTGTGTGTGTGTGTGTGTGTGTGTGTGTGTGTGTGTGTGTGTGTGATGGGGTGGGCAGGATTGGCCTGAGGCATTTTCCACAGCCACTAACCCACCTTCTGACCCTTCCCCCAGGGAATGAGTACTGGGTCTATTCTGCCAGCACCCTGGAGCGAGGGTATCCCAAACCACTGACCAGCCTGGGGTTGCCCCCTGATGTCCAGCGAGTAGATGCTGCCTTTAACTGGAGTAAGAACAAGAAGACATACATCTTCGCTGGAGACAAGTTCTGGAGGTAGGGGGGCCTAAGTGGAATGGCAGTATGGCCAGTTTTATGTGGCAAGACACTCTGTGGCTTGATATACACAGTGTGGGTAGACATCCTTTCCCTGGTTTTTAGCCTTTCTGGCAGCAGGCCCTCCAAGAGAAGACACCACAGAGTGCTCCCTCCTCATGACATAGGTAGGGTTTTTCTGGCTAGAATCCTCTTTCCTTTTTCACTGCCTCTGATTGGGCCTGCAGAGATCTACTCTAGACCCTCTTGTTACGGCAAATCACAGACGAGTTGGTGATACACATACAGATAATTGCTGCTACTGTTGCTGCTGTGTGCCAGGTGCTATTGTAAGGCCCAATGAAGTAGGAATCACTATTCTTCCCACTTTTCACATGCAGAAGACAGAGTTTCGAAAGGCTGAATAACTAGCTTCAAGTCCCATGGCCATGAAGTGACAGCGCAGCTTTGAGGCCTGGCATCCTGATCCTGGAGAATGTCTTCCTCTTCCTGATGCAGTGGAGACCCAGGGAGGGAAGGTATAGGCAGGGCAGCAGAGGGAAACGAGGAAGACTAAATCCAAGCCAGGCCCAGGGAGACACAGACACCCTCCCCCATGTCTGCAGCAACAGGGACTCTTTCCCCCCATGTCTGCAGCAGGCACCCTCCTCCATGTCTGCAGCCACAGAGATCCTTCCCAATGTCTGCAGCAGGCACCCTCCCTCAAGTCTGCAGGCCTGGCCAGTGGTGAGGCCTGGCAGGCGAGCAGTTTAGAAGCAAGAGAGAAGGCTCCAACACTGAGAGGCAGAGGTCTGAATGATGGGCCACAGAAAGCAGTGCCCATGGACATAGCTCAAACTCTGGAGCGTGCTTATAATTCTAAGGAAACTTAGGCTCAAAGAAACTAAAGGACATGGTCCACTTATATGTAAGTGTGCTGGCCCAGAGCTATGCTTAAAGCTGCTTTTCCTCTTTCTCCCGAGTGTCTCCGTCACTCTGCCCTTCTCCCCGCTTCTGTGGCTGTCAAGGCAGCCAGGCCAAACCAGGAGCCACTGATGGAACTCCCAGACTTTGCTGTCCCTGAACAAACATTCCTGCTTCCTTCAAGGTCTCAGTCTCCTCCTCCTTCTCTTCCCCTCTCCCCACACGAAACTGCCCTGACTCAGAAACTGCTATGTCCCCAGGCTGCCCATGGCAGGGTGGAATTCTGGAGGCACCGCTGAGACACTTAGCAACCTAAGCTGATTGGTATCTCAAGCCTGAAGCAGAAAAACAGTCTGTCAGGAAACCACTGAGCAGACCTTTCGTCCATGGGCTCCGGAACACTCCCCAGCACGCCCACGCACTTCAAATGGCATCTTAGGGCTCTTGAATTCATGGGCACTCTAAATCTTTAAATCTGAGTGTGGTGGGTCAGAGAAGTGGAGTCACAGACATGTGACTCAGGAATCTCAGAATCCTAAAGCCTAGGTGATTCCCCTGCTCTGCATGGGACACTCTCTCCCAGCCTTCCTACCACACGCCCTATGTGTGTACACATGCAAGAACAGACATGCCCCATATGAGCAGGAGTGTGCATGCATCCACCAACTCATAGGCCTTGAAATGCTTTGCTGGTTTCTTCTAATCCTTTTCTTTGACAAGGCCTTCCTCGAGCTCTAGAAGACACAACAGATACCGCCTTCTGCTGAGGAAGCCCCACGAGCCTTCGTTAAAGGGGCTTGGGCAGATAGTGCTGATCCTAGGTTCTGGACTGTGCATTTTAAGGAGCCAGGTCCCTCCCAGGAAAGGTGGCACAAGACCTTGAGACACTTTCTTGGACCATGGTTGCAGGGAAAAGAGAGTTTGGAGAGATGGGGTGAGCAGCTGCCCCCAGCATGCCAGTAAGAACTCAGCTGCTGCCTTTGAAAGTTCCCGAGAGACCACAAGTTTATAGTCAGTGGCCTTTACATGCGGTGCGCAGAACTCAGATACATTTGCATCTAATACTGGTGACTCCTTCCAGACCTGTGCCTTGCTTTAGGTGGAGGCTGTGCACAGCATCTGGATTTTCATTTAATGTAGATATAGTGATCAGCTCTATTTCTGGACAAAGGATACTAAGGCTGAAATGGGTCAAGGACACCCCAGAAACCTGGGACACAAATGTCTCTTCTGACACTTTATATTGCACCTTCTACATCTGTAGATAAGCTGTCAAGATAATGAGGCTAAAGAGAGGAGGTGACACCTCTCCTGACGTAGACCTGTAGGCTTTCTGGGTGGAAAGAACTTTCAAGAAGCAAGCTGTTTCATTTCTCTGAGCCTCACCTATACAGTGGGGCTGATTTCTGCCCTCTGCTTGTGCTAGGGGAAGCCCTTGGGGCTTGGGACACATGTACATCTCTGTACCATTGTTATTCCAGGAGCTTTGTAATACAGTGGGCTCAGTGGTGGTGGTCAGTTTTGAGTTAGGGGACTTGGTTTTGGTAACTTGGGCCTTGAAGAAACAGCCTTCTCAAGAAACTGTCTCAGATGAAGCTGTGGTTATGAAGGTGTCACTGACAGCTCTTGGGGTGATAAACGGAAAGGGAAACCCCTAAAAAGACAGCCTTAGGGTAACCTATGCTTGGAACCCCTGGTGGAGGTGGCAGCGCTGTACTGGGGGGAAAGGAGAGCCACCCAGGACACTGCAGAGGAAAGAAAGCTTGCCCATCACCAGGATAGGATCCAAAGTGATCTGCTTGGAACTTTTCTCCAAAAAGGTGAGGTTTGTGTCCTCTACTGACATAGCCACAGGCACACAGTAGGAACACATTAGCTTTTGTAATGTTAAATGTGTATAATAACACTAGTAGTTTGAGGGGCAGAGGGCGGGAAGAGAAGGAATGAAAAGGACAGCAGTTAACAGGTTCTCCAAGAAACTTAAAACAAGAGCCATGGACAAAGACTTCATAATGCTTAAGGTATTGACCTGGATTAGAGACAGGGCCCAGAAGAACATGTACCGTGACAGCTACAGCTGGGACAGGGGTGGCATGCCGTCTGCCAGTGACTCATGCCCTTGAAATCACACCCACCACATTGCATTGTAACCTCACTCTCTGAGCCTTGGTTAACTCCCAGGCACGGCTTGTCATCTCTGCTTGACAGATGAAGAAGCAGCAATTTGTTCAAACCGCACAGTGAAAGAATCATGGGTCTGGTCCATTGGTCCTCAGACTGCAGCCGGGAATCAAAGGTTGTGAGGGAGAGGCTGGAGGCATGGCTGAGCAGCTCCTGGGTTCAATTCCCAGTACCCACAAGGCTCATAAACATCTATATATAACTCTAGTTCCAGGGGAATCTGACTTCCTCTTCTGGCTTTTGAGGGCATTCATTCACGTGGCACACAGGCATATATGCAGGCAAAACACCTAAACACATAAAAATAAAAATAAATACATCTCAAAAGAAATTTTTCTTCAAAAGTTGGCAAGGGAACTATACGTTCCCAAATCCCTGCTGAATACCAGACATGGGAGAGACATAAACATGCTTCTTGGTGGCAATGACACTGTTGCTCTTAGAGATTGTCTCAAGCCATGCAATTAGGAAGCAGAAGTGTGGGATTCAGAGCGGGGCCGTGTCTAGGCCCTTGCACTGCTGCTACTTTCCTTCTGAAGGTCCAAGTCTTTTTCTGAAGCCCACTCTGTGCTATCCTTTGGATCCTTCTCTCCAGGATTCGTATGAGGGCGGGGGTGAAATTGGTCAGCGGTGGGGGGTGTTGGCCTTCAGGGAGGCCATTTGCTTCTCTCTTACTCTTTCCCTAGATACAATGAGGTGAAGAAGAAAATGGATCCTGGTTTCCCTAAGCTCATCGCGGATTCCTGGAACGCCATCCCCGACAACCTGAGTGCAGTTGTGGACCTGCAGGGCGGTGGTGAGTTACCCAGGCTCTGCTGGCATTCTAGGACTGCCTGCCCCCAGCCAGGAAGCAGCTCCTCCTCTGTACACACTCCTGTAGGGCAGCCATGCCGTCCTGGAAAACAAACCAGTCCCTTTAGCTCAGTGCTGGGAAGGCAGCCAGTCTCCTGACCCCTTGCTGCCCCAGCCAAGCGCCAGGCTGGAAGACCTAGAAAGGCCCCTTCACAGCTGCAGGGCCTGCAGCCACAACAGAGGAGGGCTGGGAGGCCTCCAGGGACCAGGAACATGGCCTGGTGCCCTGGATTCATTCTGGGGCTTGAGCCAGGCTGTATTGGGTTTCTCGGGAGGCCTTGTGAGCACCTCCCGTCAGAAGCATGGCTCCACTTGAGACAAGGCAAACTCTGTTGTGCTCTGTCACTCCCGTGGCAGTGACCTCCCACCCAGCTGCTTGCTTGTTTGCAGTGTCAGCACAGGAAAGCATTTGGAATTTGAAAACCATATTCCCAGGGAGGCTTCTGCGACTCTCTAGGGTCCTGGAAATGAAGTCAGTTTGGCTTTTGAGAGGAGGTTTGAATTCAGTTCCACAAAAGGTTTTATTTTTTTTAATGTGGTGTCTGTGTGTGTGTGTGTGTGTGTGTGTGTGTGTGTGTGTGTGTGTATGCTCTTAGCATCTGTAAAGCTCATAGCCCTGAGCTCCCATAGCTAAAGGTCTCATGAACACAGAAGGAAAGCAAATCTGTGTATAATCAGGTGCTCTGTTAAGGGTTACCTTCAGCCAAACATCTATCAAGTCTATACTGTGAGCTAGGCTTTTAAATGGAGTGTCTGTTTGAAGGAATTCACAGATGCCAAAGCCTCTAGAGGCCAGGAGAGGAAACAGTAGAAAACAAATTATGCATATGTGAGTGTGTGAATGTATGAGTGAGAACATGTGTGTGCAGTGTGTGCATGTGTGAGTATGTACATATGTGTGCTTGTGTGGGTCTGAGTATGCATGTGCATGAGAGTAGGGGGTCTTAGAGTGTATGAATGCCTGTGTGTCTGTGAGAGAGTGTGAGAGAGTGAGTGTGTACATGTATGGGTCTGAGTGCATGTGTGTATGTGTTTGTGCCTGAGTGTGTTTGTGTGCATGGGAGTGGCTAACTGTGTGTGAGAGTTTGTGTGTATGTATGTAGTAGCTAAGTGTATCTGAGTGGGGGGGGCCTGAGTGTGTGTGTGTGTGTGTGTGTGTGTGTGTGTGTGTGTGTGTGTGGTGTGTTATGTAAGGAACCACAGGCGAGTGAATGATGATTGGCAGGGAAGGATTGCTTCTCAGTTTGATGAGAGGTTTAAAGAGAGACCAGGCATCTGCATATTCATGTGACATTGCCAGATGTGTTTCCATCTTAGCAACATTTCAGAATTAAAGACAAAAAGAAGCAAATATTTGTATGGACCTAACAAACCTGGTAGGCCTGAGACCCTTCTACTTCCCATCCCCTGATGTATGAAAGTTCTTGGCTTGGTGCTTATGCTCAGGAAGGTACTTTTGTCACCAGTAGCAAGTATTATCTAATTTAATCTCATATCAAGCTCTAAGAGAGCAGTTTTCAACTTTCCTAATGCTGTCACCCTTTAACACAATTCCTCATACTGTGCTGACACCCAACTATAAAATTAGTTTTGTTGCTACTTCTTCATCACTGTAATTTTGCTAGTCTTATGGATTGTAATGCAAATATCTGATATGCAGGATATCTGATATGTGACACCAAATGGGTTGGGACCCATGGGTTGAGAACTGCTGCTCTAAGAGGTTGGTGTTATGATCACTGGCTCAGAATCGAGCAGCCAAGGATGGGGAGACCTGGTTTCCTAGCCATTCCTCTTCCTCCAGCCCAGAGGGTCTTCCCAGGTTGAAAACCCTCTTCCCCATGCCAGGCAGGTGTGATGATTCCCAGGGACCTCCCGTGTGCCATGCGGGTGAGGGTAGGTCCAATCTCTCTTCCTTGTCTCTCTTTCAGGTCACAGCTACTTCTTCAAAGGTGCCTACTACCTGAAGCTGGAGAACCAAAGTCTGAAGAGTGTGAAGTTTGGAAGCATCAAATCAGACTGGCTGGGCTGCTGAGCTGGCCCTGTTCCCACAGGCCCTGCAATGGTCACTGCACACCAGGCCCAGAGTCCCGGGGAAGGACGTGAAGGGGCGTGGCTGCCCTGCCTTCGGCTCTGTAGTTAATCAGCCTTCTCCCTCACCTGGTGATTGAAGATTTAACACAGTGGCTTCTTTTTGTGCCCAAAGAAAGGTGCTGATCTTACCGCTCCCAGCGCTTCCCCCACCTCCTCCCGACCCCGAGGGACTCTTGGATATTCTCAATGCAGCCCTCCTGTGGGCTGCCCCAGTGCTTCACGCTGCAGGATCTCCCCATCCGTGGTCTACGATCTGTGGCTCACAGCACCTTCAGAGCCAACAGAGACTGTCTTAGGAGGGCACTGGTGGCCCGACAGCCTGGCACAGGGCAGTGGGATACAGGTGTGTCCAAGTGGCAGTCGGAGACACTTGGTTTCTCGCTTCTAGCTGTCCTAGTGCCTGCACTACATTTAGAAGTTTGCTTCGTATGCACTGTGTTCGTTTCCTTCAACCTTTTCAGTTTTCTATCGTGCCGCGTTTCCTGACAGGACTCAGGTGGTCTGACATCACTGCACGGTGCATCTCAGCCCACATAGCAATGGCTTCCTTGGGTACTCTAGGACATCCTTGGTCACCTCCTCCACTGGATGGAGGAGAACCCAGCCCGTGGCTTCCTTCGCAGCCTTTTTGCGCCTCCCTTTAACAGTTCCCCATGGGAAATGGCAAACAAATAAAAATAAAGACACCAATTGAGTGGCAGTGTCTGCCTCTGTTTTAGCAGCTCACAGCCAGAAGGAGGAGCCTAAAAAGGGCATCTCTGCTAGTGCAAGGCACAGATGATGTGTGCTGGGAAGGCCAGAGCTACCGAACTAAGAGCCCTGGAGTAAATAGGTTTGCATGCCTGGTCCACAGGAGGAAGAGACTGGACACAGCCACGGTTTTGATCTTCATGAGGAAGAGCTGGACACAGCAGCAGTTCAGTTGTTGTAGTTATGGGTCTGTTAGATGCCCCCCCAATAGCCATCCTAAAGGTAGTGCTGACTGCAACCTCACAACCCCCTCTTCTAAGAGCCCTTATGATCACCTTTACAGGCCCCTGAGAAGTGGGAAGCTCTTTGTGTGGGGTCACACGGGGTCTTTCCTGGTAGGACCAGGGAATGGAGGGAAGAGCAAACCTGATTTCTGGGAGAGATCTCCCGTGGCCAGCCCACAAGTTCTGATTCTTGAAGGTCCTTCTTGCAAGTGACTAGCTAAGGATTTGCAGCCCTGTTGGAAGAGTCTCTAGGCTGAGCAGCTTACAGAATAGCAATATATATATATATATATATATACACATATATATATCGTTATTAAGGCTCTCTGTTACATATTCAGAGAAAATTCAGCTGTTCCTCTCCATACCATTTCTAGAGTACTTCACTGTGTGCATTATTATGAGGTATGAATTATCCTTCCACTCTTAGAGGAGGCGGCTAACTCAGAAAAGTGACTAGATCAAGGCCTAATATCTACACACACACACACACACACACACCACTCCTGCTGGGAGCAGAGTTAGCCAGTACGGGTGATTAGTTCAGTATCTCCATTCTTCAACTCTGGCCAGTCAGGGTTCTACCCACCAGCAAGTGGGCAACCCTGGTCTTCCCCTCCCCCTCCCAGGCAGGTTCAGACAGGCCTCATACTTCCTCAGTGTGAAATGGAGTCACTGTCTTAACCATTTCCCTTCTCTGGGTCAGGTTCCTCATCCACAGTGGAAGTCAATTGTTTTTGCCCTTTCTAAATAATAGTTCAATTTCCATGAAAGACAGCCATCTCCACACTGCTAGTCCAGGTTTTGACCATAACAAACTCTGTCGATTCCTGTCTTAGCCGTCTCTTAACTTACAAACACCCCCAAATCAAACAGGTTTACACGAAAACGAAACACACTGGAAATCGAACAAGGATGAACAAAGCTGACCCTGGATTTATTAGTTTACTTACCAGGGCTGTTTATGTGTCTCCTGGGTTCAGAGCAGGCAAGTGAGGGTCACACAGATGAGTGGTTTGGTTTAGAGGCACAGGACTAGTGAAACAAAATCCTGTTGCAGTTCTCTCAGTTGAAGCTCTGCTAGGACCATTCAGGTCCTTGCAGGTGCTTCCAAGAGGCGTGGCTGTCCTCTGAAAGCAGGTACCTAGGAGGGCGGGGCCGGAGCCGGGGGCGGGGCCGGAGCCGGGGGTGGGGCAGCCAGTGGCTAGGTGACTCTGGCGCGCCTGCGCAGAAGCTGGGAGCAGCGCCTGGGGCTGGGGTTCTCGTGGGTCTCCTGCAAGGATCGGGCATCAGGATTCTTCCTCACGCTCCGGTTCCCCATCTTTGCTCCGGTTAGGCGCCAGGATCCACCATGAACCGGTGCGCCGAGGCGGCCGCAGTAGCGGCCACGGTGCCGGGCGCAGGCGTCGGGGAAGCAGGGCTGCGGCCACCCATGGTGCCCCGTCAAGCGTCCTTCTTCCCGCCGCCAGTGCCCAACCCCTTCGTTCAGCAGACGCGGATCAGTGCGGCCCGACGGCTGCAGGTAGAGGCGCGGTGCGCGCCGAGGCGGAGGGAATGTGGTCGGCTGGAGGAGGCGCGGGAGGAATTGTGCATCCGAGAGAGGAAGCACCTGAGGGCATCTGGTCGAAGAGGGGATCCGGCTTGAGGGGATCGGGGCTGAGCGGGGAGGTATCCAAGAGGATCGCAGGTCTGGGGGAACATGGGGGGATTGTGGGTCCAACGGAGGAGGCGTCTGAGACGATTGTGTGAACTCGAGGCGTCCGAGGAGATCACAGGTCTGCCACTCTTGAGGTGATAGTGAATCTGACCCAGAATTTGTCCGAGGAATTGGAAATCCGACAGGGGAGGCATCTGGGGAGATAGTGCGTCTGAAGGAGGAGGCTGTCTGAGTGTGGTGTGGAGTCTGATAAGAGAGAGAAAGCATCTGAGGAAGGAAATGGTGTGGATGTGACAGGACAGGGTCATGCGGGGCAGACAGGAGGATGTGAGAACTGAGGACACGGGGGGATGGGATGGCCCAGAGACGTGAAAGCGAGAAGAGGACTATTCTTTGCCCGAGAAGGGATGGATGGGGCAGGGACTTTGTCTCCAGTTTGTGGAAGCACAGAGGATTGAGAACTACCACATGAGAGTGCGCTTCGGCGTCCTCTCCTTTGCAAAAAGGGGAGTCCGTCTGGGCTGGGTAGAGTAAGCGAGGAGGCTGAGAGCCCTGCTTGGAACCACAGGTGAAGCTCTAGCGATTTAACTGAGCAGGAACAGCCAGGCTGTAATCGGGAGCAAAGAAAAGCAGTATCTGGGAGACCTGTGAAGGCAGTCGGGAGCTTTTTCTTTGAATCAGCCTTCCCACAGCACCTTTCCTAGATTCAAAGATGACAGGAGTGGTAGCCACTGCTACAAATGGCCGCAAAGGAAGTTGTCTTTATCTTGCAAAGGGCAGCTTTTGTCCCTAGTTCACTTTTCGACTTCCTCTGTGGTGAGGTTAGTGATTGGAGAACAAGATAGAGGATGAAAACTGCATTGGTCTTGTTCGCCCGGGGGTGGGGGGGCTGGTGGGGTGGGGGGGTTGGGGACGACGACCACGCTGATGTTTCCCTGCCCATCTCATAAATTTTGTTGTGTTTGGATCGAAGTGATGGTTATTTTTGTAGTGTTTTTGTATGTATGCAGCTGTAAGACTAGTGGCTTCTCTGGAGGGGGCGTGTCAGCACTGAGCTAAGTGCGGGAGGGGGGGAGATGGGAGTGGTAGAGTAATGACAGGTATCTAGTAGAAGACTGGGCTGGGGGAGGAAGAGAAAGACAGAGGATGTAGAGAAAGTGAAGTTCACAAAGTTCCTCTGTATGACTTGAGGCATCTGCAACACTCGAAAGCACATCAACCATCCTTCAAGATTAACTTCAGACAAATAAGTTATATTTAAATGAAAATGTACCTGTCTGTTTGGGTTCAGAGATTGGAGGGAGGCTCAAAATGGCGTTCTTAAATATTTGTATTGTGCTTTGAGTAGGTTATTAGTTTTAATAGAGAGCTCTTCCTAAGAACGCAAATGGAACCACATATAATGCAAAGAGCACTGGTCATTTATTCTGTAAAGTTGGCCTAGTCACTTAACCTCCCCTATTGCATTTTCTTGTATATTAAATTGAAATAATAATTCCTCAAAGGAAAAAAAATAAATGAGATAATAATGTGGCATAATGTAGTCTGGTTTGCTGATCTTAAAATTATTAATTCTGCTGTGTGTCTATAATTGTATGCTATACTTAAGATTTGCTGCTTGGATTAAACTGTTGGGGCATGATCTCCGTTCTCTCTCTCTCTTTCTTTCTTTCTTTCTTTCTTTCTTTCTTTCTCCCTAATACCTGTTACCATAGATGCTTCAGTGACTTGAATAGCATGACAAAAGGAAAAAATTGAATAGGCATGGATAAAATGTGACATTTATACTATCTAGCTTAAAATACAGATATACTCACACTGATAAAACAATATCTAAATTCAGACTAAGTTTAATATTGAATTATGATGTGTGACTTAAAGATTATTGTTACTTGAACATTTCATCATAGGGTTTATAGTTTAAGTTTATCCTGTCTCCTTTTTTATGCATTTTTAAAAATATTTATTTTTATTTTTATATGCATTGGTATTTTGCCTGCATGTATGTCTGTATGAAGGCATTGAATCTCCTAGAACTGGAGTTTCAGACAGTTATGAGTTGCCATGTGGGTGCTGGGAATTGAACCCTGGTCTTCTAGAAGAGCAGTCAAATGCTTTTAACTGGTGAGCCATCTCCATATCCCCTATTTATGTATTTTTAAAAATTATTTAAGGGTATTTTGCTGCTTTGTGGCATGGAAAAAAGTAGTCTAATTATTATTGCTGTAACAGAACTTAGAATTGAAATGATTAGCTATAATTGTGGGATTATTTGTTCATATCAAAAATACCTATTTGCTCTCTATAATATAGTAAGTACAGATGTCTGGACATATAGAAGTGAGCAAAAAGATCCTGTACACATACTCTGGAAAGATGCTCAGATGCCCTAAGATCTCATCTCTGATTGGCCTTTGGGATCTGTATAAGTAGGAATCTGAGGCTAAGTTTTGAACTGCCACTTTCATTGACGTAGACCTCAGCGTGTAAGACAAAAACCCCTCACACATACTGGGGAACTTGTTAGTTTCTACACTAGAGGAAATGCCTGTACTCATTAACTGCTTTTCAAATTGATCAGAGGCTTCAGTAGCCGCACGTGACAAAGAATGTAATACATAATTAAATCATAAAACTCCCTAGATAAATGGATCAATGAGAGAACACTAGGTTCAGAAACAAACATATGTCTATGGCCATCGATTACTACAAGAGTGTTAGAGCAATTCAATGGAGAAAGGCTTGTCTCTCCAATAAGTGGTCTGGGATAAATGGATTAACATGTGCAAGAGAATTAAATTCACCTAATATCATATAAAACAGCTTGAGCTGACAGACAAAAGAACTAAATATGAGAAATATGAGAGTTAAAATAATAGAAGTCTTAACAGAGAGCATAGGTGTAAATATTATTGACCTCGGATTAGTCATTCATTTCCTAGACAGACAATAAAAGCATAAGCAAACACACACACACACACACACACACACACACACACACACACACAAAGGGAGGGGGTGGACAGGAGAAATAGATAAATGGCATTGTCAAATTAAATGCTATGTGCCTCAAATATACTCACCAGGAAATTGAGGAGGGGTCCAAGGAGATGCCTCAGTGACTTGTCACACAAGCATGAGAACCTGACTTTGGGTCTCTGGAACCCTTACAGTAACAAAGCTGGGCAGGTGTGGTGGCTGCCTGTAATCCCAGCACTAATAAGGCAGAGACAGAATAGAATCCCTGGGGCAAGCTGGCTAGTTAGATGAGTCTAAATTGGTGAGCTATGGCTTCAATAAGGGACCCTACCCCAGTAAATAAAGTGGAGAGTGAGGAAACCATAGCATTAACTTTAGGCTTCCCTATGCACCCTGCCTCCACCCTACGTGTGCTCACAGCAAGATGGAAACAAGCTCAAGCACCACAAACACCATGTATACATGTAAAATGAAAGAAAGAAATTAAACTGACCACCTTAAAAATTTGTGAAAATATTTTTACATAATATATAGTATCCAAAGTGTGCAAATAACTCCTAGGACTCATTAGTAAAAGGCAAGTCAGTCTAGAAATCAGTAACCAATGAGGAGGCTGAGAGATGGCTCTATATAAAGCCATCTTTATTCAAATTATGTAAAGGTGCTTACCATCACACCTGGTGACCCAGGTTCAACCCCATGCCCCACATGACGGAAACAGAGGACCAACTCCCACAAGATGCCCTCTGTCCTCCATAAACCACACATGCTCCCATATACTTACACATAAAAATAGACAAATAGAAAGAAAATATTACTTGGAAATTAAAAGAAAATGAAGAAAGTTTTAGAAGGAAAAGTGGCAGAGAGTTTGCTGTAAGAACTGTGTGTAAGAAATGATAAATGGAGCCATGCATGGTGGTGCACACTATGGAGGCAGTCAGGCAAGATCTCTGTGAGTTCAGGGCCAGCCTGGTCTACATAATGAGTTATAGACAGCCAGGGCTATGGAGAGATACCTTGTCTCAAAAATCAAAACAACAAATATAAACTAAAAATAAATAAGTAAACAGCCAACAACTGCTAAATGGGGATTGGACGTATGTAGCTCACTGGAGCTACAGTGGCATTAAAAAAACAAAAGCTATGTAGATCTGGAGATGGCTCAGTGGAAAAAGAGGCTCTTGCTGCTAAGTCTGACTATGTAAGTTATGTTTCCCAGGAAGAGAACCAAGGGACTGGAGAGATGGCTCAGAGGTTAGCAGCATTGGCTATAATCTTCCTAGAGGATCTGGGTTCAATTCCCAGCATCCACATGGCAGCTCACAACTGTCTATAACTCCAGTAATGGGAGATCTGGACACTCTCATACAAACATACATGTAGGTAAAATGCCAATACACATAAAATAAAAATAAATTTCAGCAGGGCGTTGGTGGCACATGCTCTGGAGGCAGAGGCAGATGGATCTGGGTTCGAGGCCAGCCTGGTCTACAGAGTGAGT